TTCCTCCTTATTTACGCAAAGCTGGTCATGCAATAGCAGCAGATCCCAGCACACACTGCAATGGTCGTGAAATCAGTTCATCTGAAATTCTGTAATGGATGGAGACCATCTTTTCATTGCCTTTTTTTTTTTTTTTTAATGGGAAGAATAGTCTCTGTGTCATGTGCATCAGAGTCTCAATTCATTCAAGGATGTATCCCAAATGTAGGTGTTATGTAAAAGTAAAATCTCTTTTCTCTGTCTTTATTCTCCTTGTATCACAGTGCTTGGCATAGAAATAAATCTTACTTTCCTGCCACTGAAGGAACAACAATGCAATAAAATTCTGTCTGTAGAACTCATTTGCTCAGCTGCGTTACTCTGAACTGACTGTTTAGTGAACTAACCAGCAAGCTTGGCCTACAAGTGCTGCTCCTAATTCTCACATTCCCTGCTTTTCTTATGTTGTAAGCGTAATTACCTGTTACAATGTCAAGTTTTATAGCTTGGGAAGGTCTTAAACTAGTTACACAGCTAGGAAAACAGAACTTCTTTAAGGTGCTTTAGACAGAAGTGGTAACTGAACACCAATTTCTTTCTTAGCAAAACACCAGCTTTGCCAAACAACCTTTTCAAAAGAATATGTCACACAAGATATGACTGCAAAGTATGCGTTTTGCCTGGTAGCAGCAAGAGGCTTCTTAAATATCAGTGAACCTACTGTGATGCCATGAAAGCTGATCCTTCAGCTAAAATAAATTTTTTTGTGTTTGACCCTACAAGTTCTGGGTTTGGTCTTTACAGATGACTCCACAGGGCTTCTACAAATTTCACAAGGCTATCTGTAACCCCTATGCCCTCCTCCTCCCAGATGGTCCTGTTACTGAGATGGAAAGAAGAGAACTCAAATGGCCCACTGGTGCTATTATCTTAAGGACTTGGGTCAAGTACCAATCTTGATATTTTTCTTCTTTGCATTTGCACTTACATGCTTGCTGAGCTGGAGTGCCTGCTCCTGTTGTACGTAGACGTGGTTCTCTCAGCTTGTGTTTGGGCTGTTGAAACTTGGGATGAAAGCTTTGCGCCAGGGTAGTGTAGGCCATACAATGTTGGCTAATGGGTTTCCTTGAAATCCCTGCACGTTTCAAATAGATTTATGAATAAGGCGGGCAACTTGAACACATTGCAAGCCCCTAAAGCCTTAGTGAATCCTGAATTTGGCCATCTCAACTATTTATAGAAAACTCTATGCCTATTCTAAATATATTTTCCTCAAGGGCACCTCATCTCAACCCCCTGCTCCACAGCTTAAATCGGATCAGCAATGCTGCTATGATCTGTTAGCAAAAATTCCTTCTCTAGCTCTGTGGCAGAGCTGGAGATGTTGCTGGTCCAGGCCTTGGAGGGGAAATTCTGTGCCAGGCAGAGCTCAAGTGTTTGGATTTAAACTCTGCAGCCAGCTGGGTAGAGAGATATTGATGATATATTAGATCATCTCCTGTAGCCATTGCCTGATTTTTTTTTTTATATTCCTCCTCTGCTGATAGGTCTAGAGTTCTGCAGGGGGAAAACCAAGTGACTTATTGGCAGTGTATGGCACCTTTCCCTTTCAGAAGTCTTCAGCCTTGCAAACTAGGCTTAATGGTGAGCACACAAAGCATTTTCTTTCTAGTGGAAGTGTAAAGAGTGTTTCGTGGGCAGAAAGCATTTCCTGTTGCAAGGATGCTTGAAATCGGCGCTCTCTTTTTCTTTCTCTGCTGTAGGGAAGAGAAGTGTCTCTTCTGTGGGAGTGCCTGCATGACCGCGCTTGGAGAGCCGTGCTTCTGAATCTACAGGATGGTTCTTCCTGAAATGTCTTCCACGCAGAAGCCTCCTCTTTGCTAGCTGGCATTTTGTAACCCCTCTGGCAGCAGAGCAGGCTGTGCAGGCTTTGTCCAGTGCAAGCTTTGCTTTGTGTTAGTGAAGGCAGGAGTGCTCTAAGATGGCGTAGAACTAACATTGCAGGAGTGGCTCCTGCTCTCATCTGGCTTTGGAGGTTGATCATACATGTTCACTGTTATTTTCCAGGCAGGTGAGCATGGGGCATTTAGAAAGCAGGGCTTGAGTCCCACTTGCTGTTGATTGGATGGGGTCAGACTGTCAACTCTATTGCTCCCACATAAGGACAGAGGATCGCTTCAGGCCAAGCAGAGCAACTCATCCCATGGTAGATTCTGTAGTGCAGAATCTCTACCTTTTAGAAAAATCATATGATTTTCTTTTTCAGTCAAAGTCTCTGGCTCTACCATAGGATAGAAGTTGTGGTGCAAAGGGCACCCTGCAGAACTTCACAGGACATTTTTTTCATCCTTCAAGTTTAAAAATATTTAGAAAAATACATCCTCTATTGAATTGTATAGGTTTGAACAGTTTCTTCTGTAGGCTAGTTACATTCTATCTGCCTCTCTCAGGAACATCTGCAGATTTGCACGGCAGATGCTGCAGATCACAGTCCTGAGCAGAAAATTTTGGGTCAGTGTGGAGGCAGGATGGGTCAAGAGGACCTTACATATCCTGAATAGCTCTGATGCCCCACAGTAAGGGTCAGTACTGACTTGTATGCTCAGAAAAAAACAACTTCTTCCAGTTCCTATGATGTGATTGACCCAAACTCTATTCCATGGGTCTTAGACTCAACTTACAACTGGGGTGTAAAGCACCAAGACTGCTTGCACTGGTTCAAGAACAGGATTTGGAAGCAGTGTGTCAGTACTGTCTCCAGAAATCATGTCAATTTAGGTACCCATTAGAAATCCCCTTCTGGGTGCAACGAAGTAGTGACTGCTGCTCACTTGACCTCAGGGACAGAGAAGCCTGTGCAAAGCTTTGCTACTCTATAGATCAGGGTAATGTAGCTCACACTGTATCTAAGCCTCAGAAAATGTTTTTGAGGTTGACAGAAGCTTTTCTTGGTTATTGTTACCCTTTAAGGATGAATGGGGCAGCATGTGGCAAGATCTCAGAATGGGATTAGCTCAGGACTTAGCAGGAAGAGTTTCTTAGCACTCCTCCAGAGCTATTTCATGCTCTTGCAGCCTCTGGAGCTGCATGAAATGGAAAGGGTTATGTCCTTGCCTGCCTGGCAGGAAAATCATCCCAGCTCAGTGCAGCAAAATGGATTGGGTCCAGTGCTCTTGGAAGCAATAAAACAGGTAAAGTGTATTGAACAAGGAATTTCACGTGGGGGATTTCACTGTGACCCTGAATATTGTCCCAAGATGCATTTGCCTTCACACACAGGCCTCTTCCTACAGTCTCCTTGGCTCTTCCAAGGAATCAGTGTCAGCATAGCTTTACATTTTGCTCCCATCATGGCTTACCTGTGTGCATGCAGGTAGCGTTTCCTTGCCCCTGTCCTAGCTTGCAGGAACGGACAGGTGAGTCTCTCCAAAAGCAGTGCAGTGCCACTCAGGCTAGTGCAGCCCTCAGTGCCATGGGGTGCTGCTGCTGCTGTGCTCTGCTAGGGAGAGCTGCTCAGTTCAGGCAGTATCTGTGATCCCATGGGGATGCATTAACTCAGGAACGGCTCTGCAGTACCTGGGGCTATGCCAGAATGGGTGCTCAGACCCTGGTGCTGATCATTTGCGTTAGCATTTCAGTAAAGAAACACTCCTAATGTATCTGTCTGTGGTTCCTGGTCTGACAGTGTGATTGGCAGCTCTCTGGCTCACCTAGTCATGCCTCTGGCTAGTTATTCCCACTGATGTCTCTCTAAGACTGGCTTCCTCGTAATGGAAGGTCTCCATTTGACCACTCTTGATATAACCAAACTATAGTGCCTTTCAAAAAGTAGAATAAGTAATGCATGCCAACAAAAACTAATACATTTGTGCTTGTAAGAAATAATGATATATCCCTTTTGCAGTGCTTATAAGAGATTCAGCTTCTCCATTCAGAGTCACTGGCCTCAGTTCCCTGATGGCCTGGGTGTGTTGTCTGAACTGAGGCTGGGAAGGAATCAAGAGAATTTAACTGCAAGACGAACACCAGGAGTGAAACAGCCCAGATAGCAGAAGCAGACTACAGAGCAGTCGAAGTGCAGAGCTCAATTTTAAGCCTAATCTGAACATTGAATGAGGTGCTAATATCTCAGCTACTGTGTGGAGTCTCTTCTCAGTCTGCTGTTCGCGTTCTGTGAACAGAGTATAGTGGTATATATAGAATACACAGGGAAAAACTGGCTTTGCACAACTGGTGCGGGCAGTGCAGGGTGAAGGGAAGTGTCTGGTTTTGGTGATGAAAACAGAAATCTGTCTTCGTGTCTGTGCTCTTGGGAGCTGATCAGATATTTTATGGCATGATACCATCATTATAGCTTGAAGAGCCAATTTCAGAGCTGGCTTCTGTAATTGCCTGATAGTTTAACCTGTCTCCATTCCCCCATAAGAGGAGGACATATTGCCTTCATTCACGTTGCCCTGTTCATTAGTAAACATAAAGCAAATTGTAAAACCAGACCTGCTTGAACTAACATTTGTAGCTATTCATTCACTCACGCACAAACCAACCCCCTGATGCCAGTCCAACTTTTTTCTTATACCAGAGAGAAAATAAGAACAGTGAGTCAATTAGTATTCTCTTTTCTTTTTGAAGTATCGGGGAACCAGTTGGATACCATGAGCAACAATATGGTGAAAAACTGGTTTAGAAGGTGTGTAAGAAGTTAAATTTAGTCATGGAAGTAGCTTTTCTGTGTTTTACCAGAGGCTTCTGCTTTTTTTCCATTGCTCCCAGTACGATATTTAGGTTGGACTTCACCCATTCCCAGGAGTGCAGGAAAGGCCCTGCCCTGAGTCAGGTGGGACTAGAGGTTGGCTGAGTGCTAGGCCTGATGTACGTTTGTGTTACACGAACAGTGACGGATACCTCTGGTTGCTTTTGTTCCTGCTGGGCATGGGATGGGTTTCAATCCTGGTTAAATGCTGTATCCCAGATCTGTTTGCCTTTTCTTGAAAGGACTTCTCTTTCTGTCTTTTGCAGGCATGGTTCAGAAACTTGACCAGAAGCTGCCTGTAGCCAACGAGTACCTGCTGCTTTCAGGCGGTGTGCGGGAAGGTGTGGTGGACATTGATCTCGATGAGCTGAATGTTTATGCACGAGGCACAGACTATGACATGGACTTCACCCTGCTTGTGCCCGCACTGAAGCTGCATGACCGCAACCAACCAGTCACGCTGGACATGCGCCACTCGGCTTTGTGCCACTCCTGGCTGAGCCTGCGTCTGTTTGATGAAGGAACTATCAGCAAATGGAAGGACTGCTGCACAATCGTGGACCATATCAATGGAGCTACCAATTATTTCTTCTCTCCAACAAAAGTTGCAGACTGGTTCTATGACTCCATTAGCATTGTCCTCTCTGAGATCCAGAAAAAGCCTCAGCGAGGGATGCCAAAGGTGGAGAAGGTAGAAAAGAATGGGACTATCATATCCATCATTTTGGGAGTGGGCAGCAGCCGCATGCTGTATGACATTGTCCCTGTGGTGTCCTTCAAAGGTTGGCCAGCTGTGGCCCAGAGCTGGCTGATGGAGAACCACTTCTGGGATGGGAAGATCACAGAGGAGGAAGTCATAAGTGGGTTTTACTTAGTGCCTGCGTGTTCCTACAAGGGGAAGAAGGACAATGAATGGAGGCTGTCATTTGCCAGAAGTGAAGTGCAGCTGAAAAAGTGCATCTCCAGCAGCCTCATGCAAGCCTATCAGGCCTGCAAAGCTATCATCATCAAATTGCTGTCCCGCCCCAAAGCCATTAGTCCGTATCACTTGCGGAGCATGATGCTGTGGGCTTGCGACAGGCTACCAGCCAACTACTTGGCCCAGGAGGATTACGCAGCCCATTTCCTCCTGGGTCTCATTGATGATCTCCAGCACTGCTTGGTCAACAAGATGTGCCCTAACTATTTCATCCCCCAGTGCAACATGCTGGAGCATCTCTCTGAAGAAACCGTCATGCTGCATGCGCGGAAGCTGTCCTCAGTCCGCTCAGACCCTGCTGACCCCCTTCGAACTGCCATTGAACATGTCAAAGCAGCCAACCGGCTAACACTAGAGCTCCAGCGGCGGGGCAGCACCACCAGCATCCCCTCCCCGCAGTCAGATGGAGGGGACACCAACCAGCCTGATGACAGATTAGCCAAAAAGTTGCAACAGCTAGTGACTGAGAACCCCGGGAAGTCCATCTCCGTCTTCATTAACCCAGATGATGTCACTAGGCCCCACTTCAGAATTGATGATAAATTTTTCTGAGCTTTTGTCAATGTTTCTTGGGATTTTTTTCTTTTGTTTTGTTTTTAAAAACTCTTGCAGTGTGCAGGTTTTTTCGTTTGGTTTTCCTTGATGACTTAGTCTCTTGTTTTTTACATATCCAGCGTAGATTGGATCTGTTGAGAGCAATCTGAATAAATTATAATTCCTGGTTCTGCAGGACGGTGCAGATTTTGAAACAGTATATTACTATTTCATATGCTGCTTTGATTTTTTTTCACCCACCGAGCCCCATTGTCTGTGAGTAGTTTCTAAAGGAGAACATGCACCGTAAACACACATGCCACAGTGTAATGTAGATTTTTTTTTCAAGCTTCCATAATTTATGTACGTTGTTGGGCCTGGGGAAGGGAGAACTCACCTTCCGTTGCTTCAGAAATCCAATTCTTTTTCCATGAGCTTCCATCGCCCAAAAGAAATGAGGAGAGACTCTGGGTTGGAAAGTACTACTGGTAATTTGACGAGGCCAAATCTACTGGGCTGAAGCCCCGTTCATCTGTTCTTCACACTTCTCACACTAGAGGAGAAAGTTGACTTCAAAGATGATGATGCAGCTTTTGGGGGAAA